GGCCCTTCCAACACTCGACTGGAGAGCCTTCCAGTCCCCCATAGACCAACAGCCGATGTCGAAGAGGCCCGCTACCGTGGCAACTCGGGAGGTCCCAGCCTTTGCAGACGTGCTGTGTAGATGCATGCTCCTGGATTGAGGCTTTCAGCGCCTGCAAATTCCCAGGTCGAGTGACGTAAACATTATTCTTTAGATGACCCCAGAGGTAAAAACCCAATGGGGTTAGGGCTGGGGATCTTGCTGACCAGTCCATTGCACCTCCCCTGCAGATCCATCGTCCCGGAAAGTCAATGTGAAGAAAATCGTGAACTCTTCTGTCATTATGGACTGCTGCACTGTAATTTTGACGACCAAAGAGGCAACTGAGTAATAAAGTGTGACATTTGCTGTTGACGCTGTGGGATCTGACGAATTTCGGGCATGACGTTCACCTGAAGCTGTGCAAGGTAAGTCTTAACTGGCACCATCAACAGTTCGAGGATTTTCTGGGAGATCTCCAAAAAAATATGGACCCGAAGTTCCACCGTACCAGATACCTGTCCACACATCGACCCTGGATGAGCCACGAAATGCTTCTTCATAACGATGTGGATTTTAGTTGCTCCAGTGGTGAAGATGGAAGCTGTTAACCCTTCCATCTAAGTAGATGGCAGTTTCATAACTGAAGACGATGCGCTTGAAGAAGTTATCATCTGGATCGATTTTCTTGCAGATTTCATCCCAGAAATTCCTCAGCTGTTGGAAATCTGCCTGGTCGAGGCCTTGCACTTTGCACAGTTTGTATGATGTGGTGGTGAGCGGTGCTCCTTCGAGATGTTGTGGACTGAAGTTTTTGACTTGTTTAATATTATTCCTGCCTTTCGGATGGACTGCTCGGGGTGTTGCTGAAACTCTGCAAGGTTTGACCTTCCGGAGGAGACGTTGCTGTTTTTGGCTTCCCTTGGCTCCACATACTCTTAGAAAAGAGTAAGCGAGTTCCGAGAAAGGGAGCGAAACTGGAGTTAGCGATTTTACTCCCTAAGAACTAGGAAGTACAGTTGATGACTACTCCTTTATATGAGCAGAATCCGTAACCTTTTTAAGAGCTCGAAACGAAGGAGAGAGAGTACTTTTCAAACTAGTAGAAAAAGTTACTGGTTATTCTCAGGAAAGTGGGAAGTGAGCGGCATTACTTCCTTGTTTTTATGGAGTAAAATCGCTAACTCCAGTTTCGCTCCCTTTCTCGGAAATCGCTCGCTCTTTCCTAAGAGTGCACGGTCAGCACTTCACACTGCAGGAACTTCAGGTGGAGATTGCAAATGGAAGTTTTGGCGGGCTTCCGCGATTCGCCTGGAACCTCTGCCGAACGGAAGATGGACGCTGAATTCCGCATCGCGACGTCAGTCTCCTCTCGCTTTGAGTGAATGGGTGGCATTCGAAACTGAAATAGGCTCGCTCAAAGGGCTCCTTAAGTGTAAAGGTGAAATTTATCCTCAATTTTCAGTGTCCAGGACACACCATATTTGTATGGTCAGAATCGTATGCAATTTCTCCTGCCATCAAATTTATTTCACTGATCACATTCAACCCCATCCTCTCGCAGCCTGGTGAAAAAATTGTCATCAATCGGGATTATGAAAATCTCCAACTAGCTGTTCATTGAATGGAATAGGCATGTCTAACTGAGGGAAGTGTTGCAAGTTCCAAAACCATTCTTCATGCTACAATGGATGCTTATAAGTAATTCAGATGCAACCTAATTTCAAGGCCCAGTGAGGATAGGTCGGAGACCATTCCATGAATTTTTCGAGCCAATGCACGATGTGCACGATGTGACAAGGGACTTCTAGCAAGAAGGAGTGGCTTCAGCTTCAGGTCTTCAAGTCTCTGAGTGAAGCCTACGAGTGAACAAGACGTGAAGACAATAATCATATTACGAATGATAGCACTCACCCCACACGTGTTGATCACATTACCCCGACGCCCAATTTTACGAGGTAAGAGTGATCCAGTCTTCCTGTGCCCAAGCTTGGCAAGATTGGAACTCCGAAAGGCGCTAGTTGGAAAGAGCATGGAATCTGCTTTGGAATTTTAATCTTCAGTACTGATCGTAGGGTAAAGTTGAATGAGGTGCGCCGAATTAAGTACTAGAGTTGAAAGAGGGTACTCTCATATTCAGTGAAATATCTCTCGGTAGATCCAGTGAAACTTGACGAGAAATACAAACCTGGATTAGCATGAAAGAGTATTTCTTGGTACATACTCCGTCGATGGCAATTTGCACTTGTAAGCACCAGTAATTAGGACTGATCACACATACCCTGAATGACCTGTTAATAGATATTTGAAGACGATACTCAGGGAGTGGGGGGTGGGGGGAGGAATCTGTGGCTTCTCGTGGCCTTTCTAGTTGGGATTCGTTGAAGCTTAGGGCGCTCTAAAACTCCGTTGAAGAAATGCTTAGTGATTAAGTGGTGACTTGAAAAATTTTTAAAGTTTCCTTCGACCATTTTTACTTCGCCTTTGTGTCTTTTCGAATCAATTTCAGAAACAATCCATCAATTTTTAAGTACAATGTTGCATTTAACGTCCTGCAGGAGAGCAGCAAACGCTGACAAAAAGTCATATCGTCAAGTCAATTAAAGTCAAAAGTCGAGAAAGTCTTATTTAACTTTTATTCTTCATACACATATGTACATACTTAAATACGAAGGTGTTTCAAAATGTAACGGCAATTCCTTTCTAAGCAGTCCATGTGAACCCACGCCTAGCGAACCGCATGACGCGCGCAAAGACTGATCAAGGTCATGCGGGACGCGCCCTTTTAGTTCTAGCGAATGTCGCTGGTGGCGCTAGCGGACCTCAAATCGACGCGGCGAGTGTGCTCTCTGCGTGCACGGAGGAGCAGCGGTCTGTTATTCGCTTTTTTTTTAGGACAGAAAGCGTTAGACCGGCGGATATTCGGAAGCGAACGTTATGGGGAGAAGTGCCTACTCTCGGATCGATTAGATTGAATTCTCTTTCTCTCGAAGAGCTTTGGAGTTGGGCTTTTTTCTCCTTTTCTCCTTTTTTTGTAAACTCGAAGATCTTTTCAACTGTTCCTGGAGAAGCAAAGAAAAGACGAAGGATAAAAGAAATGGGAAGAGAGGAAGGAAAAGCTTTCTCGGGGGGGAAATTAAGCAAATAGAAACTAACTCGAAAGAGATGGCAAAAATAAGAAAGTTCGACCGTAAGAACCGTCTGAGAGGAAAAAAATAAATAATCTTTCGATGAACTCATTCTTGGACTTGGAAGGCATCTGCGAGAACTGAAAAGCGAAATGCGTCATTGGTTTCCAATCGATCGCGAGAGTGAAGAGAAATTCGAACCCGTCTCGATGGCTCGGACGCTTCCTCTGGGGTGAGGGGGGCGGGGGGCGGGGGGCGGGGGGGGGGGAGGGCTCTCCGCGTTTTATGCGGTTCTGCCAGGGGGATGGCCCGAAATAGCAACAAGGATAGGTTTGTTTTCTTGCCAGGGAGAGGAAGATGAGCTGGAAATCGAGGTACTCCGATGGGTTTTGTCCCGACGTTATTTAGATTGTCGGATTCCCATAATGACACGCTAGATCGATATTCCTAGAATATAAATCCTGGCGAAGCTGAGGATCCTCTTCCTCGGCATTCAAAAGCGTTCTCATCTACTGAACGTACCCTCCAACTCTCTTCCCTCCCTCCCCCTCCCTCCCCTCCCCTTCTGCTGTCCGTGGATGGCGTGGGTACGGTGCAGGGATGGACTGGCCATCTGGCAACTCTGGCAAATGCCAGAAGGGCCGGTCCTCATGTACCCTATTAGTCTTATGCAACGAAATTTACGAATGAATAATAAGTACAGTCATCCCCCGAAGTTACGTCGCAATTGGTTCGAATTTATGTCGTAATTGGTTCCGAGACCAACGATGTAAGTCGAGACAGATTTTCCCATAAACGCAATGTTAAAATGGGGAGGGTGGTTCCAGACAATCAATTTTGACCAAGAAAAAAATTTTTTTTTATACTGTACTGTAACAATGTTGCCGACTACTCACGACCTGCGACACTTGACGCGCTCAGTGCGGTGTTGCCGACTACTCGCAGTTGAGATACCAATTCAGGGACGACGTAAGGGCAACGTAATACAACATAGGTACGAATTTGTGCGCTTGGCTTAATATGCCTGTATTGGGTCTGGGGGTAAACGACGTAAGTGCGGAACAACGTAAGACGAGACGACGTAAGTCGGGAGATGACTGTATATTGGGAATAGGCCTAACTGTGAAACAATACATTATCAAGCGTTTCTAGTGGCCCTACCTACATTTTCAGCGAAATATCCACATTGGTAGGGCTATTCCCAGTCGGACTGGCGATGCGCTCCCGGCCCGGGGCTGTTGCTAATATTACGTAGTGTAATTCATTCCATGCCAAAAAAAAGAAGGAAGTTCTTGCTGCCTAACAAAAGAACTGATAGATGAGGTCGGAGAAGAGAGCCGACAGAGGAAGAAGGGGATTAAACACGATCCTACAAGTGGGACCTCATCAGATAGGGCAAAGGAGATGGAATCAGGGTCAGGGTTGTCAGGCGGGTCAAGTCGAGCTCGGGTGACCCCCGGTTTTGATATTTTTTGGAAGCACATGTATCTCTTCCTTGTCTAACATGTGGCACAACATTGTTACCATGCATTCCTGCTTGCGATACCTCATGATCATTCCTCCTTAATTTTCCCTTTAATTGTTGCATTGCAATGATAATGTACAAGGATTTTGCAAGTTCTGAATATATGACAACCTTGTCCTTCCACCAATGTCTCTTTCCTCTATAATATACTCAAACATCCCAGGTTGGTTTACGAGAATTCAATGACCATCCCCCCTTTTGAACCTGTCATCATGGAGCCGCTACTACGTTTTTTGGGAGGGAACCTATACTATCTATATACATATTTTCTCTATGCAATACATATTTTCGATAACGTCGCCACCCCCGGGGTGCGATTCCACAGCGCCATGCAGGTGAGAGTTGATGAACCTCCCCCAGCTGCACCAATAATGATGAAGGTCTAGTTATTGCCTGGTAATTCGTTTCAGTAATCAGTTTAGGTTTATAAGCCACGGCCTCAATGAGGACCGGTGTGAGTAAAAATGCCAAGACCGATTTTTAGTCCCAGTCCGCCCCTGGCCCGGTGGCTTGCCGCAACCCAACGCTCCCATGATCTTCCCTTCTGATCCGATCTCGTGAGACTTCTACTTCGCCTCCTTGGCGCTGAACGGAGTGAAAAAGACATGCTGGGAACCCATGCTCACCTGCCGGCAAGTGACGCCCAGTCCGCAGCAGCCGATGAGCCGATTTCATGAATATCTTCTGCATCCCGAGGCATGCCTCTCCGCCCATTTAAAAATCCCAACTGGAATATTCTAGCTGGGTCAAATCTGTAAATTCGTACCATTTCCAAAGAGCTGGAAAATTGTAGGTACCAGTTGCTTCTTAGCTGCAGTTTTCCAACTGTAATGCAGCTGGTTTTAATAGCTGTTTCCAGCTGGAAAATTTTCCTACTGGAATTTTATAAAGAGGACCCTACAACTGGAATGTAGCTAAATTTACAGTTGAAAATCAGCTGTTCCTGTAGATGGACCTCTGACACAAATAGTCAGCAAAAATTTTCTCATTCAGTTAGTGATATAGCAATTAGGAAAAAATATAGATTACTACTTTCCAGCTGTTACCCAGTTGGAATGGGTCCGAATTTACAGCTGGAGTCCAGCTGGAAATTATAGCTGTTTCCAGCCGGGATTTTAAACTGGGCGGAACCGTGAAGTTCCCATCGTCCCATTGTATGGTATGGTACGATGGCGAGGACGAGCATGGCGCCTCGCGTGTCAGCTGAGAGGCTGATCGGTTCGAATGGCAACGCAATAGGTGTCAGATCTGTACTAGCCTAAAACTCAACCCGTCGTGGTAACAAGGGTTTTGTTTTTTAAGTCAATGCAGACGATTGTAGGCTGTGAAATCTTCTTTACTTGTGTGGAGCCTAATATCTCATGAGGTCAAGTCTAACGTTAGAATATTCACAACTACTGACAATGGAGAAAAAAAGAACGAAAGGCTTATGGGCAGCTCACCCAGTGGGCAATACGCAATTAATTGTTTTTTCGTGCTTTCCAGCTCATATCCCTGGCCTTTCTGGTAGTTTCATGGCTTGAAACTTGTTGATTATTCTCGAAGGCAGTGAATGAGGTGATGACAGGGCACATTCTCTTGTCCTTGAACTCGTGTGGAAGACTTAAGGCTAGGCCTAGTGGAAGAAATGGGAAACTGAGGTTGAATTGGCTCCTGCGTTTCATGTCTGGAGGAAGTCATGTGATTCCCAACCCTGGTTTTTGCAAAAACTTTCCAAAAGCAAATTGTAGCTCTATCCTTCAAGGTCCCATATCTGCATTGAAGACCAATGGCTCCAACTTTCCTAAACGAGAAATTGGTTATGCTGCAATGCAGAAGTACCAGACATTGGTACAACTCTGTCCACAAAATGTGAGAAATAATTTTTTTCCCATAGGCATACCTGCACTCCAGTTTTCTCTGAGATGAAGCATGATGTCTTGATGAATAAGTGTGGTTTTTTTAATACATATTTTACTTTCCTCTGAAAATCATATTTGCAGTTGTCTGTGGAAAGAGTCCAACAGGAGCTTCAGGAATGCAAGAGATTCCTGGAGAAATGTCCCAGCAATAGTTTCCTAACTCCTGAAGCCCTGACCTGGGTTAGGAAGTTTCACACAACTGTCACAGCTTTCAACAATGGCCCTTATCCCAACCCAAATCGCAAGCCAGATAAGAATGACGAAGATGATGGTGAGACAGTTTGTATTATTTCCTCTTGGAAGCTTTCTTGATGAATCCCCCATGATTCCTACCTGCTCTTCCCTGGATGGGTTAAGCAGAACAGCACCTTTCCTGACCATTTGCAAAGTGACTCCCAAGACTGTCTAGAAGCTGCAACATAGCTCCTCTATCATTGGTTATGGCTTCCTAGTAGCTTTCATTCAAGCTGCTACTGAATGTACTGTCAGTATCCTCCCCTGCTCCCATGAATCCCATTTCTTTATGCACCTTCTTTACCCTCACTCTCCTCTTTTCATCCAAAATGATGCATATAAGTGGTTTTCAAAACAGTAAAGTAGACATTTTGCTAGGATGTCTCAGCTAGGTAATAATGTTGATGACTTCCTTGGGTTATGGTTGCACATTCTCTCTTGTACCATTCATTCAAATACTCTAGACTTGCCATTAATTTTGTGACCCTCTCTAAAACATCTAACATGTATTATTCACTTATTTGTATTGTATATATTTTATTTTTTGTAGGTGGTTCCTTTTATTGAGTTACTAATGTGATGTTTGGCTGCACAAATGGGACTAACATTACACAATTAGCCTATTGTTGCAGTATTGCTTTCTTTTTTAAAGATTCAGCTTAAAATTCATCAGCATATTTTTGACTGTACCTCTCTTCCTCTCCCATGAAATTGTGTCAGTAAAAAAAAAAGAAAAAAAGAAACACTTGGGATCCAAACTGAGGATGCTTTCTTGAAAGGGTGCTGAAAGATGAGATGAGAGAGAATAGATTTGATGTTCATTTTGTATGAAGAGAGTCTCTGCCTGATACCAAATAGTTATACAGACTCAAAAAAAATTTCCCTGCTGAGTCAATTTGGCTTATTTGCCATATTTGCTGAAGATCTGCTATATGGCAAAATGAAATTGCAAAAAAATATTTCATTTTCTTCAATATTTCCAAGTACCAGTACATTATTTATACGTTATGTTATTATTTGAGTCACTTTGAAGGTTTCATGTGGTGCACTCTCATGGTATTTCCTCCACAGACAACAAGATATCTGCACTTCTTGCAAAGGCCCTCCTCTGGATGTTGACTGCTTACCTCTTCATTGTGGCATTTTCACTGCTCTTCCCATCAACAAATAACCCAGAGGTCTGCATTCTTACATACAGACATGTCATTTTTTGTTGTCTTCATTTATTTAATTCCATGGAATTCAGTGATGTCAAGATCTTATCTGTTCTGTTCACTTCAATTATGTCAAAATCTCTTTTCTCTTCACAAACTTGCAGAATGTGAGGTATGTCTCATGGAATGAGTTTGTACATCACATGCTGGCAAGAGGAGAGGTAGAGGAGATCATTGTGAGGCCCGATACGGAAATAGTCACCATCATTCTTCATGAAGGAGCTGTGGTCAAGGGCAAGAAGGTAGGTGTATATATGTCATGCATCTGGATATCATCATTCAGGCAACTTCCCTCCATCCATATTTGAAATTTTATTTTTCATGTTAAAGTGATGAAGATACCTATCTAATATGCATATTGGTCCAAAGATAGTCTCTTGTTTTTTTTTGTTTTTGTTTTTTCTTTTGGGGGAAGGGGAGGGGCAGGGGCAGGGGCAGGGGTTTCTGCTTGATTTTCATCCTATGCATTATGCTGTGTATGATTCAAACCTAGTGTAATTTTTTAAACCTTTGCCAAAGTTTGATTATACAAATTTGAACAGCTTGCTTTTCCTGGGGTTCATTTATATAACCCCCTAAATGGTTGTTCATAAGTTGATCTGTCAAATTTGATAGTTGAGCTTACCTCTTTTCTCTGCTAAAGTAGCTGTAAAAAATAAAGGTTGCACAGCAGGAGGAAAATTCATCATTCTGCTTGTTCTGAGAAAATAAAATTATTGATCCTGACACTATGACCATGCATGCTGCCCAGCAGTTCTGGATATGCCATGTGCAGTTGACACCTTTGCAAGAAAGAGAGGTCTTTTGGGCTGTAGGGAGACTGACTCAAGATAAGAAATGCGCCAGTAGATTCCCAACAAGCAAGCTATTTGTTTTAGGGCTGTCAATATGTCAATGGATTATGACCTCTATCAATAGCTAGTAGTATTAATTTTTTCACCAAGCATGGCAATCCATTTACATTGAGAAGTGAAGCACCATGCTCAAAATTTGCAGATGTGCAAATGATACATGAACAGATGTTTAAGTGATAATGGGACCTCACAGGGGCCAGAAGGTAAGGATGAGATAGAGAAGGAAAGAGGGAAGAACACCAGCAAGAAGACAATGGAAGGGACTCCAGAGCCTGGCATTCTATTTATTCCTTTAACAGCCTGCATGAAACTATGGTGCAACATAGAAATGAATTTAGGGTAGGGATATCAAACTGCAAAGCCCTCTTCAACAGTTTATCTCAGAAAAGTGCTGCAGAATCTCAAACTCTATGCATATAATATTTATGTTATAAAATTTGACATTTTCTAACTCCAACTACCCCTGAAGGGTTTTGTTCAGTCCCCAGTGTAATGAAGTGTGGAGTCTCTGATTTAGGACTCTACATCTGGCCCTCCAAGACACCGCTCTCTTCTTCCTTTTTTTAATTACTTTCTGTTTATCAAGGAATATATGTTTTACCAATCCATCAATAGTCCACCAATGTTCCAAAAATTGTTCAGAACAATTCATTGATCTGTTACAAACTCCCATTATGACAACCCTAATCAGTTTATTATTATTACTATTTAGATTTGAGACTGTCCTCGCTGTAAAGCCCATTCCATTGTCAATGTGATCCATTCTTATTTGTTATTTATAGTGACTGTCCAGAAAGTTCCAATCTAAATTCTCTCATAAGATCCTCATGTCCCCAACTGTTCAGGTTCTCCCAAGCCAGTACTTGTATAACATGGGCACATGTAGACTCCATGCACCAGTAGCAGGGCCAGTGTGGGAGGGTCCAGAGTTCAGTTTTGTGGTCTTATGGCATCAATTATCTGTCCACGGTGTTGGAGGTGACATCCTGACTAATATTTTTAGCATACAAAATGTATTTAACTATATTATAACTGATGAATCAGCATATAAAGGCTGTAAAAATTTGCTTTGGATGGTGACTGAAAACTCCATAATCCAAAGTCTTGCACTTTCTCTCATGTTAAAGGTGTACCTATGTGCAATGAAAAGTGTCAGACATGACATTTTGTGAACCTCAAGTTTAACTCACTTGCACAAATGTTCTCATAGCATCTTCCAGGCTTCTACTGGAGCTGGAACCTTTTTGCAATCAAAAGGTTCAGGTGTGTACGTTCAAGTACAGTCAGGGATATTGGTGGTGGCACGACAGTCCCCTGTTATTTTATTATGCAACATTGGGTCTCCTACATAATGCATATGCTGGGAGGCAACATGTGACTATGTATTTTCTGGCATGATGGAGATGGCACCTTTGCAGCACAGCAGCTTTACTTAATAAAATGTCATGTACTACCATGGTCTCATTTTCTGTGGATCCAGGTTGATCAGAGAACGTACCACATGAACATCATTAACATACAGACTTTTGAGGAAAAACTACGAGAAGCTGAGATGAAACTAGGAATTCGACCAGAAATGGGAGTGCCCATAGTTTATGAAAGAACTTCAGATGCAGCTGGGAAGCTGCTCACTTCCCTCATCATTGTGATCATTCTCCTCTCACTTCTTTCAAGGTCAAGTCTCAGCATACGACCACCACTTCCCACTGACATGTTTGTGAGTTTGATTTAGATTCCCTTGTTTCTATACTTGGTATTTTAACCCATTTGGTACCACAGTTGTACATGCATAATGGTGCTGTATGCCAACCATGGAAAACCTGGTACTGAAAGAGTTAATTCAATTGACTCTGCATAAACTCCTCAGCATCAACTCTTCAGCATCAACTCTTCAGCATCAACTTCTCAATGGTATCATGCCAACTGACCATTCTGGACCTACAAAATAGCATCTCTAATGGTTTCAATCTTCTTTCCTATTATCTTGACTTAAGAATTGCTGTACTAAGCTCAGAATGGCCAGTTGGTTCCTGTATCTTAAACAATGGAGTGGGGATTTCATGTGCAGTCAACAAATTTAAATGAACCCTGGATGGATGAAGAGCTTGAGGTGGAACTTATGCTGTTTTAGAGTCAACTGGGGAGGGCCAAGTTTACTATAATAGACCCATTGGCTGGTGGAAGCAGAGGAGTGAAATTCGCTGATGTGGCTGGACTCAAAGAGGTTAAGCAAGAGGTCATGGAATTTGTTGACTATCTAAGAAGACCAGACTTTTACAAGACTCTAGGTGCAAAGGTATGAAGTTTTGTTCTGGGTCTTTACTCTTAAAACTGGCTGTTTTTCAGATGAAAAAATTAGAGTTGGAATTGAAATTAATGCCATCAAAGTGATAAACACCCATCTCAGTCTAATGAGAGAGGAAGGACCTTTTGAAATGCTCTGAAAAAAACTACAGCGACCAAAATATGTACCCACTTTTCCATTCATTCAAGCTGTTTTATTACTTAACCAATACCCTGACATTTATAGTGTAAGACAGTAGTAAGCAGCATTAAAACTCAGTTCACTGCAGATGCTCAAACTGAGATCCACTTGCATTCAAACATCCTTGACACCTGTGAGGGATTGATTGGCACACATGTCAACTGTGATTTGCTGCAAAGTATTAGTGGTCTGTTCTCTCAGTTCTTCAATGATATTGGGTTTCTGAGCTTAGACTATGATCTTCGACACCCTGTGAAGGAAAAAGTTAAAGGGAGTGAGGCCCAAAGAGCAGGGTGGAAACTACCGGTTCACAGTTCACATCCAACAACCTGGGACAGACTCATCCAGGTAGTTACAAATTTACAAGGAATGGAAAAGTGAGTACTTTTTTTTGCCACTCTGTATTTTACTTCACAAATTACATCCTGCTAATTTTCCTCAAACTAAGTTGCAGCATGAGAGTTCATCATATTTTCAGAAGTATGTCTGTGGGACCCAAGGAAGCCTGAAATATGCTTCAATTTATGGGTTTCAGAGTTCAATTGAGCTCTCATGGTTCATTCCACTTGTTGACTTTTACCTTGAGATAATTTGTAGACTATAGAGGAGGACAAGTCCTAGTACAGCACACCATGACTAAACATAATTTGGCTGTAATTTTCTATTTGTGATACCCACCTAAATCCATGCCAAAAATAATTTTCAACTCTCAATTGCAAACCAATCATAATTGAAGGTGAACTTTGGATTGGGTTAACCCAAACTGAATTCAAACTTTTTCTAAGGGATGGGATGGGATAAAGTTATGAAAAAAGAAGTGGAGCTTTAAGTTTTTGCAGTACAAATATGCTGATAATGTTGCAAGTGTCAGCAGACTACTAGTCAACTAGTATCAGTTGTCTCTTACTGTTAAGATCTGGACTCATCTGTCATGCTCAATTCCCAAGATTCTTGACATTTTCAATTATTTGCATGTCTGAATTAACTTTACTTTGATCATTGGGCAAGCAAGAACTAGACACAAATCCAGTTGTGGGAACAAAATCCAAACTGGGATGAACTAGATCAGAACCACAATATGATAGTTATGTGAATTTTAGAACCTGCGCCAAGCATTGATCCTATTAATGTGAGCCTGAACTGAAAAGTAACCACTTGACTTGGATTTATTCCATATCTAGAAAATCCCAATGATTCAATTCACACCTGAGTAGTTCCTACTTCACATATATTCAAGATTCAATAAGTATGATTGAAAGTGCAGCTCAACTGGTAGTTATTTGCAGGGCTATTCTAAAATTACTTGCCATGTTCAGACTTCTTTGCATTGCAGAGCTATAATATTTGGTGGGAACATGAATGAGACCATGTGGATGAAGAATGTGTACCATTGAAAGTGAGCACATGGAGGAGCCACTTCCCATGAAATTTACATACACCTCATGTATGAAATGGTGTAATATCACTGTCTGCCCTGTCAAACATATATCTTACAGTAGAGATAGTCTTCATCCAAGATGGGGTTCCTGTCCCATTTCACTGGCTGTGAAAACACATTTGTAGATGTCCTTTGGGGACTGGATCATCAGTCATCATTTCCTGAACACATGCCACCTCTATCATCCAAACCCACCCCAGCAGACTTTTGGCCTTGGGGATATCTCAAGTCTGTTGTGCATTGTGTAACACCTGTCACCTTAACAGACCTCAGACATGACTTCCACCATCATGTGACCATGTTGGTTCCTGGACAGAATCAGTCAGCTGTCCATCATAGCATCCCCCAGATGCAAGCAATCCTAGATATTTATGGAGGTCACACAGAGCAAATGCAACTCCCCCTTTTGGCTATTTCCATCAATTCTGCATTCCACTTCCCCAGGGTCTCATTTGTGTTCCCACTAAATTTTTCAGCTCTACAATGCATAGTTGCATATTTCAACCATATGAACATGCGAAGAAGCTTTATACTAATTGGGTATATTTAGATTTATGTCAACATCTTATCCTGACAGACACCAGACTAGAATCAGATTCAAAATCGTTCGTATTTTTTCTTGAGCACAAAGGCATATTGCTTACAACAATTGAGAATCATTTTCCCTTACCTAAACATTTAAAAAAGAAATACTGTTATGGTATAAATTTCTCAGTCAATTCTGATTTAAAACTTCAGGTTCCAAGCCAAGATTGAAAACCTATTCTACAAGATGTGATCAAAGTCACTTCAAAGTCCTGCATAATTTATGGGTAATTCTGAGATTCAGTAAAATCAAATCCCACATGATTCAAGATTTGGAAGTTAGAATTGGTCTCTTAGGAATTCAGGCCTGGGGTAAAATTTCCTATTCACGCATCACTAATGGACAAAGTTTATTGGTGATGTTATCTTCTGCATTTGCTTCAGATTGATGTTATTTTATGAATTTATCTTACACATGACTAAAGTACAATTTTTTACTTGAGGATGGGTTGTTTTTGCTTGAAAAGGTTCCCAGGGGAGCAATATTGCTGGGCCCACCTGGCTGTGGTAAGACAATGCTAGCGAAAGCAGTTGCATCAGAGGCCAATGTGCCTTTCTTGGCTATGAATGGATCAGAATTTATTGAAATGATTGGAGGACTGGGAGCTGCCAGGGTCAGGTCAGCCATTCTTCATTAACTCATGCAGAGACAATAATGCATGTGTGTCTCAATCTGATCTTGGTACCTGTAGGGACCTCTTCAAGGAAGCACGAAAGCGATCACCATGCATCATCTACATTGATGAAATAGATGCAATCGGAAGGAAGAGAAGTACTGTTGGGGGACCATTTGATGGGAGCTCTGGAGAGAGTGACCAGACCCTCAATCAGCTTCTGGTTGAAATGGATGGCATGTCTTCCAAGGAAGGGGTCCTCATGCTCGCATCCACCAATCGACAGGATGTCCTTGATAAGGCATGGTACTTTTTGCTTGTTGTCAAAGTGACACTGATATAAGTTTTACCCTGTTTGGCTCTCATTTTGCCTCTTTAGTACTTATACAGAAATGCTCAGTTTCCTTTCTTGTTGACATCTGTGTAAACATGTGTAACAAAGATAGTTCCATATGTTCTCAGGCTCTTATGAGACCAGGGAGATTTGACAGACAAATCATCATCGAACTTCCAACTCTGGAGGAGAGAAAGGAAATTTTTGAACAGCATTTGAAGGGAATTACTCTTGAACATGAGCCAAGGGTCTATTCTCAAAGAATGGCATCTCTCACTCCTGGATTCAGTGGTTGGTTGCAGAATACTATGTTTACAGAAATCCTAATCTAGGTTTACTTGTATGTATCATAAATGTTTCTTGTCTATCTAAACAGGAGCTGACATTGCAAATGTTTGTAATGAAGCCGCTTTACACGCAGCACGGGATAAGCATACCAAGGTAGTTGCTGATGATCTGGAATATGCAGTTGAGAGAGTAGTTGGTGGAACAGAAAAAAGATCAAGTGTAAGTCAGGTAGAGTCTCAAATATTCAGAGATTGAATACACAATTTCCACGACATCCTTTTCTTTGCTCATGATAGGTGATGTCTCCAGGTGAAAAACGTGTTGTGGCTTACCATGAATCAGGTCATGCTCTGGTAGGTTGGCTCCTTGAGCATACAGATGCTCTTCTCAAAGTCACCATTGTACCAAGGACCAGTCACACCCTGGGGTTTGCTCAATACACACCCACTGAGCAGCGTCTGTTTTCTGATGAAGAAGTGAGTGAATTTCTTATGTATTTTGAAAGAGTGTGTTATGAATCCTGAAGGAACATAGTTGAAGTGTTGTAAGGCATCATCATGGATAAACTGGCCTTGCAGGTACATTTGACTGTTAAAATGCAGTCAACTCTCATTGATCCAAGTGCCATTAATCCAGCTTGCACATTAATTCAAACAAGAGGAATGGTCCTGGCAGAAATTCCATAGAAGTTATGTTAAAAATCTCAAATTGATCCAAACACTATTGCTCCCATTTCTACATGGTCTCTTTCACCTGGGCTGTTCTCATTTATCCAGACTTGATAACATAAGAACAAGAATGCAACAGAAGAAAAATGTTTCACTTCTCTCTTTTAATTAAAAACAGAGAAAAGGACCTGAGGAAGAAGTATCCACTCAAATCTTCCTCCTTTCCTGGAATCAAGTAATGGAGATCACTCTCAGCAGGGCATCATATTTGCTTGATCTCCTTTCACAGTCTCATATTTCCCTCTCCTCTCCCTTTCCCTCTCTTCTGCATTCTTGGTATGATCTGATGTGAGAGAACTGCAAAGCAAACAAATTTTTATTTCTTCCTTGTGACTGGTTGAAAGAACTGAATCAGTAGTTCCTGTTTCTGTGGAAAAGAAATCAATAAGTGGTCCTTCAGTTGGGCTTTTGATAATCCAGATGAACTTGATTAGATATTCTTACACTAGATCATTTCAAAGTAGTTTGCATGGTTGATTCAATAGCTGTTCCTCAGTTTCTAATTTTTTTCCTTATTCAGCATTGTCATTTATTGGGGTAAAATGCCATCATATCATGTGTGTGCTTCTTTGCAGTTGTTTGAGAGGATGTGCATGGCTCTGGGTGGACGTGTGGCAGAATCCCTCACTTTCAACAGAGTCTCCACTGGTGCCCAAGACGACCTGAAGAAAATCACTCAGATGGCATATTCCCAAATTCGATCTTATGGCCTCAATCAGAGGGTTGGTGAGTACTCACATCTATTTCTGTGTTTTCTTCTGAGAGTGCCACTTTGATTGATTAAATCTTGCTGAGTGCAGTTTGAAGAGTATCATGGTATGCTTGCCTCAGGACCCCTTTCATACCCCGAGACGGAAGAGAAAGGGGTTGGAAGGCGTCCATACAGCAAGAAACTTGCAGCTGTGATCGATGAGGAAGCCAGGTTCCTGGTTGCTCGTGCTTACAAGAAAACCGAGGCTATCCTGCTGGAGAACAAGGAGAAGCTAGAGAAGGTCTGCATTGCAAAAAAGGTTTTTTCATGGAGTACTTTTGGTCAGAAATCCATGCCTAGCTTATCTCACACAGGTTGCAGAGGCACTGCTCACTCGAGAAGTTCTCAACTATCAGGACATGGAGGAGCTCATCGGACCTCCAAGTTACCCGAAGAAACGCCTGGTGGAGTCTGTCCAATTCGAGCTGGAGTTGCAAGAGCAGGGTCAGGCTGACCAAGAACCCAAAAGAGAAAGTAGGAGCCCTGACAGAGGGGTTGGCAGATTTACTTTCATTTAGCTATTTTGTTTGTGATGTGAAGCATTTTTCATTTTAGGAGCCTCTTGATAAATAATTTATAAACTGACTCTGACTCTGTGCCCCTTATACTGAAATTTTCAGAGCCTCTTCAACTTGTAAGCTGAGAGGTTCACATGAATCATTCAGCTACTCAGCGCATAAAAAAATATATTCCAGCAGATTGCTTCATTTTGAACCAGTTTGTGTTCAGAATCTCTCATAATTTGAGGCTGGGCATCATCCAGCAAGGTTGAAAATGTAAGCTTTCAGTCATTGAGGTCCTTCCATTCAATGTTGCCAATTCCAGGGAGAAAGGATGATAGAATTCTGGAATCTATGAAAGTCCCTTTTAAATGTCTCCAGGAGTGCCTGCCTTGGCTGAGGTCCAAAGTAAAAAACCGGAATGTGTGTCAAGGATGGAATTATTGAGTGAATTTTCAGGGAGACTCCAGTTTTCTCATTGAGGTGATAAAACGAAGCCACTCGTGAAAGGAGCCCCTCTTCATTCCCCCCTCCCCTCCTTGGGAGCTTATGACCAAGAACCAAGCAACTCCTGTCATTTGTTGAGGGTTTTTCGAACTGCTTGAACAGCTGCCATCGAGTAGGAAGCCTGTAGCTTTACGATGGTTTCCTAAAATGCCCCTGAGCCCCTGTTCAGGGGCATTTTGGGATATGATAGGGTATGATAGCATGTATTCGTTCGGTCCTCGATGTGTTAACACGATTGCAAAGGTTCTCCACGCGGGCCTCGATCGGTCTGAAAGGGCCAGTATGTTTACAGTAAACAAGATTTAGAAATGCTGTTTTAGGGAGACTGCATTCTGGATATTCAGTACTTTTCATTAATTTCCGCACTAACTCGGTGCTTGGGTCATGCACCCCCGAAGTCGAGACCAAGTCCAGTACTGTTGTGGATCAGTGTCACGGATAATTAACCCTTTCCGGTAGTTGGTGAATGCCCGAGCCAAGCCACACCCCTGCACCGTGATACGACTCGAGAGCATACCTTCCCTCCCCCCCAGCATGAATTGGCTTTCCGGATGCGAGCAGACTCGCCCTCGCGGGAGAGGGCCGCTCGGCGTTCTTGCATGCACTCGCACGAAAACGGCGAACCCTCGAAGCACTCTCACGGACGGAGATTGCTTCGAGAGTGCTTCCCCTTCCGTCCGTGGAAAGGATCTCTCTCGCGAGTGACTCACGATTTTTTTCCCCTCATTGTTCCATAGGGCAGCGGTCCTTTTCTTTAGCCATACCGGTACGTGGGTCAGGCAAATGAAAACACGACATTGGAACCCACTATCGCGTCTGCTTTGGGTAGTGGGAAGCAAGGGGATTTCAAGGAAAAATGAGTGGATCATTTTTCCATGTCATCCCCATGCTTATCGATGGATTTTTGCCAACATCTCACGAATGCTTTGATATCAGAAGCAAAAATAATAATAATCATTTCGGTTGCGCCTGCAGCCACGAATGCACCGCCGCCTACTCCTCGTCGTCGGACTTCAACTTCCTCCTAGCGCTTCCTTGAGAGGTCCAAACAGATGAAAACAGGTGCAAATGGGCTGCAAGACTTCAAATCCAAGACCTTCGAAGGTGTCTATGGTCTGTCGCGCACCATTCGGACGAGCATCGTCGCGGAGAAACGACTCCTTTCGTGAGCACACCGCGACGTTCAGATGGAATCGCCGGCTTCGGTTCACCTCACAGCAACTGGAAGTCCGTGCCCCTGTCGACAGTGGGCCCGCGACGCAGGCAGCGAGTCGCAAGAACGCCATTCGCATCCCAAAGTGGATCCACGTCTCATCTCCTGTCACAATCCGTTCGAAGAGAGCATCGCGTTCACTCTCGAAACGGCTCATTAGCGAAAGCGCTGTCGCTGGAAGTCGGTTCTTCACTCGTCCGTCAGCAGACGGGGAAATGCACACGCACTCTGTTGCGTCCCGAGTACCTCGTGAACAATATGGGGGGGGTAGAGCTCAGGTTTATACCCAGATTGGCAGCGACCAGATGGGTTCCTTCACGCTTCCTCCAGATTGAAAACTTTCGCACCCGCTCGTAGAAGTTGCTCCTCGTGAGGCTGCTGCCACCATGCGCGACTTTGAGTCTCCGTTGGATTTCGCGGCCATTTTGAAAATTGTGCCCAGGCATAAAATTTGAAAGAAGGAAAACACCGCGCACGCATTCAGAGAAAAAGGCTCGCGAAAGAATTTCGGTTCCGAAGTTTTAAGGGAGAAAATAATGCGACATCCTGTTTTCGTTTGACTGACCCTCGTATATCAGCAAAAACTAAAAATGAGGAAAACCAGGGCCTCTGCGTTCATTTTGAAAATTTTTTTTTTAACTGTCGCCGACAATCATTCCAAGATTACTTCAAACTATTAATTTTTAAAATATGTATTTCGCTTCGATGCGGTTCCTGTGCCTCGTTGCACAGAACATAAAGATACGACTCAATATTTGACTTGAATCCATGCGAGTCATTTGCAATGCTCGGATGAGATATTAACTAACTTTCTTTTTTTTTTACTTCATAAGAGAAGGTATTTCATCGTGTGCATAATTTATATTGGGGGGGGAAAGCAACCAAGATATTCGTTGCAGCGACAACATTGATCTTCATTCTATTTTTGGTATATGCATGACATTATATTCCAGGAACGCGTAACAGGAGTGAATTTGATCAAAACCGACTCATATCGCATTCCTGGTACTCAATTTTATGAAGAGCGTGGCCCAAAGTCACAAAGGAGTATCAGGAAAACGGCTATGGAGATGTTCGTCGCGCATTCCATATGCTCCAGCGATGGAGCATTGCAGCCTTCCTGGCCATCCTCGTACATCCTGGGCTTCCCGGTCACCCTGGCCTTCCTGGTCGCCCTGGCCTTCCTGGTCTTCTTGCCCTCCTCTGGTGAACCGCTGCCGTAGACGATCTGCGTCGGTGCGGATCCTTTCTAAAAATGGAGCTCTTGCGATTTCGTGCGTGCAGACTTTTTGATCAATAGGCTTTGGGTCGATAGGCCTATTACCGTTCCTCAACCCCTTCCCGTAACAAAATTCATAATAATAATAATAATGGTGTGCCAGAGCGGCAGTCCCAGGAGGTGAGTACCATCAAATCGGCCCTCAATAGGGAATACAAGCGTCGCCTAAGGTGGATATGGGGCTCAGAGCTCTCCGCTCGCAACAAGGTGACGGCCACCAACACCTTTGCAATCCCTGTCCTCGTCTACACCTTTGGTGTCCTTCATTGGACCATCAAAGAGCTGGAAGACTTGGATCGCGCGACCAGGAAAACCATGAATCTGCACCGTAGTCTCCACCCTAAATCTTCCGTTCAACGTCTATACCTTCCACGAGTTGAGGGTGGGAGAGGCCTGCTGGGAGTAAGGCATCTGCACGATCGTGTGACCATCGGTACTGCTATTCGGCTGCTTATAAATGGAGGCGACCCCCTCCTAAGCCTTGTGATTACTCACGAGCGCGTAGGTAGGGGATCCTTTCTCTTCCAGACTGCGGAACGAGCGGCAAGATCTCTTGGGCTAGTGCTGGATACTGGACCGCAATATAGGATCGGATCGGTGGTGTGCTCCGAGTCGGCCGAGGAAGTATCGGTGGTCCTTCACGTAGGGGCCAACGATACCCCCAAGTCTGGCTCTAAACTCATCATGGGCAGGCTGAGTCAGGCTATTGGGTCGTGTCGGGAGGCAAGGTCGGGGGAGCGGGTGACGGTATGCGCGATCCCGAGCAGGCTAGACAAGGGAGGAATCATGTGGTCCAGGTTGGAAGAGGTTAACGACAGGTTGAAGGAGTTATGTATCGCGTGATTACTCACGCCTTGTGATTACTCACGAGCGCGTAGGTAGGGGATCCCTTCTCTTCCAGACTGCGGAACGAGCGGCAATATCTCTTGGGCTAGTGCTGGATACGGGACCGCTCCCAATGTTTGAGGACATTAATATTCAATTCAACATCGAACGTGATGCCACCATTCGTACTGTCAAACGTCGCGTGCGTTTGGCAGAAATTCAACTGCTTCTGGAATGCCATCTCCTGAAGACTTTACGTGGCAAGTACTTAGAGGCAATTCATACCCATGGGCTGTCTCTGGAGTTGTCCCATGCATGGCTAAGGTCTTCTGGCCTACGTTCAGAGACGGAAGGGTTTTTGGCAGCAGCTCAGGATGGCGTTTTACCCACACTATGGTACCGAAAGTCCATCCTGAAGGAGGACTTAAGATCAATCACATGTCGGGCCTGTGGGTCCCATCCGGAAACCCTGTTCCTAGGAGAGTGGGAAAAAAAAAGGGGGGGGGAGGGAGGGAGGGAGAGAGGTGTGACTGCACCTTCACATAAGAGGAAACTCGAGAGTAAGAGGACGGTGGGTAAGTAACCCTGATGTGGGGCAGGAGAGGAGTTTACCAGGTAATATCAAAGAATGCTGAGAATGAGTGGAGCGGGTGAGAGAAAGAGTTCCTTCAACTGGCTTCCTTCAACCGCCTCGTATTCCTCTTTGAAAGCAACGGGAACAAAATTGAGCATGTTTCTTCCCCTCTCAACACAGAATCGCTCCAGCAAATTTGAAGATCCGTCTCCCCGGAGTTGCGGAGAGCACTGAATCTCGCTTTTATGAAGGCGCGAGTTTCATTACTTTTTCTTATTTTCTCCCCCCTGGGAAGCCGGAGTTATGTAAGAATCATGGCTGCTCCGGCCTTCGTATCGATGTCTGGATCTCATGTTCACTAATGTACGAGACATTTTTGCGCCGAACTCACGAGACGAGCTGCGAACGAAACGGTGGCCAGCAGCGGTCGATCCATGCGGCGGGACGCGGAGACACCTCGCACGGGGCAACCCTGACTTGGCAGTATGGCGCCCGGCGGCCTGTGCGTCTCGCGCGTCCCAGAGACACCCCTCCCCTCCGACCCAGTCGAGATGGTTCGAGGAACTCCAGGTAGGCCTAACGTTACGCGTCCTCATCGAGATGTCTCCGAGAAGCGGACATGAACTACGGTCGACGCTCGCGAATTCTCTTCGTTTACGAATTTTTTTTTTTACAGTTCCCGGCCGTTTGCTCATTTACGTTCTCGTTGAAAAGTTTCTATGTGACGAAGTTCTGGATAACTAATTGTTCGGTGTTACGAAGTCATTTTTTCCTCCGAAGCAAGAAAACTCTTCCTTACAACGAAGTTTAAATCTGCTGCACGCGTTAGGACTACTTTCTTTCGGCATCCCTGGAAAATCTCATCTCAGTCGGTCGCAGTCTCGAGGATCAGAGTCGGGCCGAGGGCGGAATTCCATCGAGATGACCGTTTTTTCAAAGGTTGCATGTCGAGCCTGAAACTTTTCAAACATCGAGTGCTCTACAGACCACGGTTCAAAGAATCGTCCACGAGGTAGCGCGGCAGACAGCCATTTGGGACTTTACTTCTGATGAAAATACATCTTTTGTGACTTGTCGATTTTTATTGCACTTACGTAAGTACACAGGGC